GCCTTATGGCAAGGTGCTCCATAATGCTGGAAAAGGCCTTGTTCATCACCAAACTGTTCTTGAATGGTTGGGGGAAGTTGCTCTTGGAGGATGTGTTGCCCCAAACAATCGGAAAGGGGATTCATCAGAGAAAATGACTTTACCCCAGTCCTCAGCAGTCCAATCCCTGTACCTTTTGCAGAATATCAGACTGTCCCTGATGTTTTTCCTGGAGAGAAGTGGCTTCTTGACACCAGGCCATCCTCCAAAACTCTTCGCCTCACTGTGCGTGCAGATGCACTCACACATGCCTGCTGCCATTCCTGAGCAAGCTCTGCAATGGTGGTGCCCCGATCTCGCAGCTGAATCAACTTTAGGAGACGGTCCTGGCGCTTGCTGGACTTTCTTGGGTGCCCTGAAGCCTTCTTCACAACAATTGAACCTCTCTCCTTGAAGTTCTTGATGATCCGATAAATGGTTGATTTAGGTGCAATCTTACTAGCAGCAGTATCCTTGCCTGTGAAGCCCTTTTTGTGCAAAGCAATGATGACGGCACATGTTTCCTTGCAGGTAAGCATGGTTAACAGAGGAGGAACAATGATTTCAAGCACCACCCTCCTTTTAAAGCTTCCAGTCTGTTATTCTAACTCAATCAGCATGACAAAGTGATCTCCAGCCTTGTCCTCGTCAACACTCTCACCTGTGTTAACGAGAGAATGACTGACATGATGTCAGCTGGTCCTTTTGTGGCAGGGCTGAAATGCAGTGGAAATGTTTTTTTGGGATTAAGTTCACTTTCATGGCAAAGAGGGACTTTGCAATTAATTGCAATTCATCTGATCACTCTTCATAACATTCTGGAGTATATGCAAATTGCCATCATAAAAACTGAGGCAGCAGACTTTGTGAAAATGTATATTTGTGTCAAAACTTTTGACCACGACTGTACGGCTTAAAGTGGTCCTACGGACAGATACTCCAATCTCCGCTGTGGAGCTTTGCAGCTCCTTCAGGGTTATCTTTGGTCTCTGTTGCCTCTCTGATTAATACCCTCCTTGCCTGGTCTGTGAGTTTTGGTGGGCGGCCCTCTCTTGGCAGGTTTGTTGTGGTGCCATATTCTTTCCATTTTTTAAATAATGGATTTAATGGTGCTCCGTGGGATGTTCAAAGTTTCTGATATTTTTTTATAACCCAACCCTGATCTGTGCTTCTCTACAACTTTGTCCCTGACCTGTTTGGAGAGCTCCTTGGTCTTCATGGTGCTGCTTGCTTGGTGGTGCCCTTTGCTTAGTGGTGTTGCAGACTCTGGGGCCTTTCAGAACAGGTGTATATATACTGAGATCATGTGACAGATCATGTGACACTTAGAATGCACACAGGTGGACTTTATTTAACTAATTATGTGACTTCTGAAGGTAATTGGTTGCACCAGATCTTATTTAGGGGCTTCATAGCAAAGGGGGTGAATACAAATGCACGCACCACTTTGCCGTTATTTATTCTTTAGAATTGTTTGAAACAAGTTATTTTTTTTATTTCACTTCACCAATTTGGACTAGTTTGTGTATATCCAAATGAAAATCCATTTAAATTACAGATTGCAATGCAACAAAATAGGAAAAATGCCAAGGGGGATGAATACTTTAGCAAGGCACTGTATTCATCCAAGAGTAAATGGAATGTCCTAAAAAAAAACTGCAGTTGTAGGCTACTACCCATGAGACCTATAGGCCTATAACCTCGCAATGGCCAGTGCGCTACATATATCAAAGCCACATCAAATATCTTGGTTGTAAAACAGTTGCTATTGAGCTGAATATTGACAGCTGATAAATAAAAATGATACCTAGAGAAAGCTGAGACCCTCCTCTCTTCGACAGGGACAAGGGGACGAAACATCTAATGCTGTGTTTTTCTCGCAATTGCATTTTGAAATGCTACACGATCAGAACAACATTTTCTTGCCAGCACATTGGGGGGAGGAGAATGGCTTGCTCATACAGCAGCAGGCCACAGCGAAACAGGCACCGGGGCAGGGCACACGCTTTCATTACAGGAATCATGAGGATAAATGCAGTTTACTGTTTGATCAAATCATGGTTTTAGCCACCCCAAAAAATAGGACGTTTGAGTGAGGTGACAATGTAGAATGTGCTCTTTCTATGTTTATAGTCACCCTTCTCGTTTTTTATGATCCATGATCTTGGCTGTCTAACTGATAATGGAGTTGGAGCAGGTCTCTATGCTGATGCTGCGTTTGACTTTGAATGTGAGTTTGGGTGACCTCATCTCCCAGTGTCTGGTGGAAAGCAGTGGAGGCTGCTGAAGGGAGGACAGCTCATAATAAAGGCTGGAATGGAGTCAATGGAATGGTATCAACCACGTGACTCCATTCCAGCCATTATTATGAGCCGTCCTCCCTTCAGCAGCCTCCACTGGTGGAAAGCAGGCAACCAGGTTTTCCTCTAGGATTTTGCCTGTGCTTACCTCCATTCCTTTTCTTATCCTGAAAAACTCCCCAGTCCTTAACGATTACAAGCATACCAATAACATGATGCAGCCACCACTATGCTTGTGGTGCTCAGTAATGTGTTGTATTGGATTTACACCAAACATAACACTTTGTATTCAGAACCAAAAGTTAATTGCCTTGCAACATTTTTGCAGTATTAATTTAGTGCCTCGTTGCAAACAGGATGCATTATTTGGAATATTTGTATTCTGTAGAGGCTTCCTTCTTTTCACTCTGTTAATTAGGTTAGTATTGTGGAGTAACTACAATGTTGTTGATCCATCCTCAGTTTTCTCCTATCACAGCCATTAAACTCTGTAATTGTTTTAAAGTCACCATTGGCCTCATGGTGAAATCCCTGAGCGGTTTCCTTCCTCTCCGGCAACTGAGTTATGAAGAATGCCTATATATTTGTAGTGACTGGGTGTATTGATATACCATCCAAGCTCATATTTACTCCTGAACCTATTTAGGCTTGCCATAATAAAAGGGTTGAATACTTATTTACTACAGACATTTAAGCTTTTCATTAACTACACTGAACAACAATATAAACGCAACATATAAAGTGCTGGTCCCATGTTTCATGAGCTGAAACGTCTGTTTGCAACAAGGCACTAAATTAATACTGCAAAAATGTGGCAAAGCAATTAACTTTTTGTTAACCCATGGCTGCACCCCTGCCCAGTCATGTGAAATCCATAGATTAGGGCCTAATTAATTTAAATTGACTGATTTCCATATATGAACTGTAACTCAGCAGAATCTTTGAAATTGTCGCATATTGTGTTTTTATATTTTTGTTCAGTATAATTTGAAAAGATGTCTAAACATAATTCCACTTTGACATTATGGTGTATTGTGTGTAGGTCAGTGACACAAAATCTAAATGTAATCCATTAAAAATTCTGGCTGTAACACAACATTTTGAAAAAGTCAAGGGGTATGACTACTCTCTGAAGGCACTGTATGTGAATCATTTACATTCTTGAACATTGATGGATGTTTCCTTGCTTGTCATTTCCACTGAGTCAGAGGAGAAAAGTTATTTGTAGGCAAATATGGGTGATAAAAATCAGTCTCCTGTTCCAGAGCTGGATTAGGTACGCATTTCAGGCAAGGCCAGGCACATACATGGAGCTGGAATTTTATCAAAAGCATATTTACCAGTATTTCATGTCAGCGGTCGATGACTGATATGGTAGGAATTCCTCTGATCACAGAACCGTTGCAGGGGGGCGGGGGGCTTAAACACCATTATATTTGCTCCATTGACTACTAGAAATCTTTGATTAGGGAATTCACATTTCATGCATGTCAATCAGAGCACATTCTCAGAAATACAGGTTATAGAAAAAGTCAATTAATTGAATATGAACAAAGTCAATATATGACAAAAGGAACACTGTATTCATAAACAGTGCAGTATTCCCAGATCACCAAGGTGTAGTTTCATTGGAAATGAGTAGCTACTTTTAGGCATAAAAAAAAAATCCAGAACAAGGGTTAAATTAATGTTTAACAGACAGAATAATTTCCCAGGTGTTTCCCTGTCATGAGAAACATCCTTGACTTATTTGAAGTACACTGCCTGTGCAGAATGACCAAAAGCAGACACTTATTTCACAATACAGCACTAAGCATTTGTAAGATCCACACACACCATCTTGTTTTGTTCAGTCCAGTTATGCTTGTATTACTAGTACTCTCACATCACCGTTGAAGTTCAAGATAAGACAGAGCCAATCAGCAAGCCTTATATTCACATTCCATTTATTGCATCAGTTGTGTAAGACAACGGAATTTACTACAAAACAGGCAAAACTGTCAGTGTTTAACTGGATCCATATTGTATAGATGCATTAAAAGACATGGTAACGTTTAAGGTACTACTCCCCACCAGCGAAAAGGTTGTGTACCAAATGTGGCCCAAGGCTGCCATCTAGCGGAAATTATATGTAGACGAAAAGTTTTACTCTAGCAAATGCAGTCTTTCTTGACCTAACATCTCGCTGACAGAGAAATGTAGAGACACTAATAATCTAAATGTATTTACCATACATTTCTTGCTATTCCAAAATAAAAGTTGCCATATTAAAAAAATACATCTGCTCATGATCCAAACATATGAACATTTCGATTTCCCCAAAGCAGTTCAGAGACATTCATCCAAATCCAGCCTATATTATTATGTAGATCAGGTGGTTGTCTATTTACAACCAAACATTGATCAATACCTACAGACACACAAATTCAGGAATATGTGTGTTTTCCACTAGTGTCTGGATAATATGCTCCTCAAAGATATAACAAGGGATTAAAAAGAACAGTCCAAATGTTTTCATAACAATAACATCTATATCATGTGTCCTAGGTAGACGAGTACTGGACCATTCACATAACCAGGGGCTGGACACAGAGGAGAAAGTGTTGGATGTCTGGAGCAAAGCTGTAGGACAGTCACGGAGGCTTAGCGCACCCAGACTTGGACCCAAACCAGATCTAGGCCTCAGTCCGCGTTCTGCCTGAGGATCCTCTTCTCTTCCTCTACAAAGCTCTTGTCAGAGGTGGCCTGGCCCAGATCCCTCTTCCTCTTCTCCTTCTGCTGGAAGCTCTCCACCCTCCGCTTCTTCACCGACCCCTTGTCTCCGTCCTCGTCTATACCAGGGAGAAAACAGCACGTCATAATAACTCAGAAATTAACTGGGATTACACAGTTAGGCAGTACTGTATCCTGCCTAAGCATCACCCCCCCCCCCCCCCCCCGTATATAACAGTTGTGTCAGAGGAGAGAGAGAGAAATCATTTTCTGTCTGAAAATAATTGAGAGATGTGCAGGCATAAGCAGATAAGAGGATAAAGCTGGTACCATATGACCACACAACAGCTTGACATGTCTCCACCCACGTCGCATAACTGCTAGCTTTTCGGTGGCGCAAGTGGCTAGTACCTTGTCAAGCGGGCAATCACATGTGTTTGTGAGGCAGAGGGCTCTGGTTCGAGCAGTTGTATGGACAGTGTACCACTACCCTGTGTAGGGAGGAAGATATAATACTAAGCAGGCACACCGTGGTCAGTCACACAGGTAACACTTTTCTCCCTACCTGAATCTGATGTCTGTTCCTCTGTGGGCAGGAAGACAGCGTTGCCAGTGTGAGGCTGTGGAGCGTCTTCTCCATTATCCTCGTAGATGTTAGACCACTTTATGGCCATGTCCATCCCTGGGGGAGCTCCCTTCTTGGGCTTCTCCGCCTCCGCGGCATAGGTCTGCGGAGGGGGCACCGCGTTCGTCTTCCATACCTTGAACTCCTTTGCAGGCTGCAGGCAAAGTTACTTATAATTAACTCACATTTTCATTTCAAAAACATATAGGTTTCCCCTATGTATCTGTGCCACAGGGGTACAATTTACAATACATGGAGTTATAGCAGGTGAGCTGGCAGTCAACTAGCTATACCAGGGTTTCTTAAACTATGGGTCAGGACCCAAAATAGGCCCTGGGCATGTGAGAGTTGGGTTGCGAGTTATGAGAATACATCTATAATCACACACTACTTCTTCTTAATTAAGGTTGTTGGGACCACAATTTGAGTCACGGGAGGTCGATACATACCTTGCATTTATATACCTTTAAAAAAATTAAAATTGAGTGTCAGCCTACAGTTAAATGCAAACTGAATATGAAATTATATGAATGTGTAGGCTATATTGTACCTGGCTCTAAAAAGTCAGGTAAACAATACTTTCCTGTGGATATTTTGTCTCAAATGTTTAGCAGCTGTAGGACAAACCGCACAGAGTAGAGTAAGTTTAAATGTAATTTTATTCTACATCCTGGATTGTAAATTGCCGGAAGATACCGACCCTACCGTTACGCTTGTTTACACTGTGCTGCACTGAGATCGGAACGCAATCATGGTTACATTAACACACCGTGGAGCCGGCAAGAGATATGGGTTGGAAAACTTACCTCAATGCAGGGAGGGATATGCCACTTGCAGGGAGGGATATGCCATTTTACATTTATCCACACTGCTCCATTGAGGAGATTGAAATACTGCTAGTTTATTTTCGTCCTCATGCTAGTTAGCAGTAACCACAGCAACCATTATGGAATGGCATGTCGCCTTGAACAACAATGGCTGCAGTGGCTACTGCGAGGGTGCACATGCACAGTTGTTACCCATCTCCGCTGCTGTGGCAGTCGGCTACATAAAATAATGATATCAATTAATTGCAAACGTTTTAGGTGGAAAAGTACACATTTACTGACTCAAAACGGATAGTACTTTGACAAAATGCTAATTCGGACATATGCTTTCAATAAAACAAAAGTATTTGTCTACACTTCGCGGATTTCTGAATCCTGAATTAACTGGTAAATCAAATCGTATTTGTCACGTGCCGATTACAACAGGTGTAGACCTTACAGTGAAATGCTTACTTACAAGCCCTTAACCAACAATGCAGTTAAGAAACATACAGTGGGGAAAAAAAGTATTTAGTCAGCCACCAATTGTGCAAGTTCTCCCACTTAAAAAGATGAGAGAGGCCTGTAATTTTCATCATAGGTACACGTCAACTATGACAGACAAAATTAGAAAAAAAAATCCAGAAAATCACATTGTAGGATTTTTAATGAATTTATTTGCAAATTATGGTGGAAAATAAGTATTTGGTCAATAACAAAAGTTTCTCAATACTTTGTAATATACCCTTTGTTGGCAATGACACAGGTCAAACGTTTTCTGTAAGTCTTCACAAGGTTCACACACTGTTGCTGGTATTTTGGCCCATTCCTCCATGCAGATCTCCTCTAGAGCAGTGATGTTTTGGGGCTGTCGCTGGGCAACATGGACTTTCAACTCCCTCCAAAGATTTTCTATGGGGTTGAGATCTGGAGACTGGCTAGGCCACTCCAGGACCTTGAAATGCTTCTTACGAAGACACTCCTTCGTTGCCCGGGCGGTGTGTTTGGGATCATTGTCATGCTGAAAGACCCAGCCACGTTTCATCTTCAATGCCCTTGCTGATGGAAGGAGGTTTTCACTCAAAATCTCACGATACATGGCCCCATTCATTCTTTCCTTTACACGGATCAGTCGTCCTGGTCCCTTTGCAGAAAAACAGCCCCAAAGCATGATGTTTCCACCCCCATGCTTCACAGTAGGTATGGTGTTCTTTGGATGCAACTCAGCATTCTTTGTCCTCCAAACACGACGAGTTGAGTTTTTACCAAAAAGTTCTATTTTGGTTTCATCTGACCATATGACATTCTCCCAATCCTCTTCTGGATCATCCAAATGCACTCTAGCAAACTTCAGACGGGCCTGGACATGTACTGGCTTAAGCAGGATTTGAGTCCCTTGCGGCGTAGTGTGTTACTGATGGTAGGCTTTGTTACTTTGGTCCCAGCTCTCTGCAGGTCATTCACTAGGTCCCCCCGTGTGGTTCTGGGATTTTTGCTCACCGTTCTTGTGATCATTTTGACCCCACGGGGTGAGATCTTGCGTGGAGCCCCAGATCGAGGGAGATTATCAGTGGTCTTGTATGTCTTCCATTTCCTAATAATTGCTCCCACAGTTGATTTCTTCAAACCAAGCTGCTTACCTATTGCAGATTCAGTCTTCCCAGCCTGGTGCAGGTCTACAATTTTGTTTCTGGTGTCCTTTGACAGCTCTTTGGTCTTGGCCATAGTGGAGTTTGGAGTGTGACTGTTTGAGGTTGTGGACAGGTGTCTTTTATACTGATAACAAGTTCAAACAGGTGCCATTAATACAGGTAACGAGTGGAGGACAGAGGCGCCTCTTAAAGAAGAAGTTACAGGTCTGTGAGAGCCAGAAATCTTGCTTGTTTGTAGGTGACCAAATACTTATTTTCCACCATAATTTGCAAATAAATTCATTAAAAATCCTACAATGTGATTTTCTGTATTTTTTTCCCCTCAATTTGTCTGTCATAGTTGTCGTGTACCTATGATGAAAATTACAGGCCTCTCTCATCTTTTTAAGTGGGAGAACTTGCACAATTGGTGGCTGACTAAATACTTTTTTCCCCCACTGTAAGTGTTAACTAAAAAATAACAAATAATTAAAGAGCATCAGTAAAATAACAGTAGCGAGGCTATATACAGGGGGTACTGGTACAGAGTCAATGTGCGGGGGGCACAGGTTAGCCGAGGTAATATGTACATGTAGGTAGTTAGTTGCAAAGGAGCAGAGAGGTCTACATCCAGCAACGTCACGAGTACCTTGACCCGTTTTTTTTGCAGCCGTTTCAGTGTAGCACTACAGAGAGGGGGAGAGGGCAAACTCCACTTAACTAGTTTCAATGTATGGAATCACTTGGGAGTTTCTGGATCTCCTTTAATGTAACTATGATTGCGTTCTGACCTCAGTGCTGCTCAGTGATGATTGGTTGAAAGAAATTGATAATAAGAAGATTTTGGGAGCTGTACTGTTAGATTTCAGTGCAGCCTTTGATATTACTGACCATAACCTGTTGTTAAAAAAACATGTGTTATGGCTTTTCAACCTCTGCCATATCGTGGATTCAGAGCTTTCTTTAATGGAAGCTTCTCTAATGTCAAACATGTAAAGTGTGGTGTACCACAGGGCAGCTCTATAGGCACTCTACTCTTTTCTATTTTTACCAATGACCTGCCACTGGCATTAAACAAAGCATGTGTGTCCATGTATGCTGAGGATTCAACCATATACGCATCAGCAACCACAGCTAATGAAGTCACTGAAACCCTTAACAAAGAGTTGCAGTCTGTTTTGGAATGGGTGGCCACTAATAAACTGGTCCTGAACATCTCTAAAACTAACATTGTATTTGGTACAAATCATTCCCTAAGTTCTAGACCTCAGCTGAATCTGGTAATGAATGGTGTGGCTGTTGAACAAGTTGAGGAGACTAAATTACTTGGCGTTACCTTAGATTGTAAATTATCATGGTCAAAACATATAGATTAAATGGTTGTAAAGATGGGGAGAGGTCTGTCCGTAATAAAGAGATGCTCTGCTTTTTTGACACCACACTCCAAAAAGCTCTGCAGGCTCTAGTTGTCTAATCTTGATTATTGTCCCAGTCGTGTAGTCCAGTGCTGCAAGGACAGACCTAGTTAAGCTGCAGCTGGCCCAACAGAGTGGCATGTCTTGCTCTTCATTGTAATCAGAGGACTGATATAAATACTATGCTTGCCAGTCTCTCTTGGCTAAGAGTTGAGGAGAGACTGACTGCATCACTTATTTTTATATGAAACAATGTGTTGAAAATCCTAAATTGTTTGCGTAGTCAACTTACACACAGCTCTGACACACACACTTACCCCACCAGACATGCCACCAGGAGTCTTTTAACAGTTCTCAAATCCAGAACAAATTCAAGAAAGTGTACAGTATTATATAGAGCCATTATTGCATGGAACTCCGTTCCATCTCATATTGCTCAAATAAAACAGCAAACCTGGTTTCAAAAAACAGATAAAGCAACAACTCACGGCACGCCTCTCCCCTATTTGACCTAGATAGTTTGTGTGTATGTATTGATATGTAGGCTACGTGTGCCTTTTTAAAAAATGTAGGTCTGTCCTTGAGCTGTTCTTGTCTATTAATGTTCTGTATTATGTCATGTTTCATGTTTTGTGTGGACCCCAGGAAGAGTAGCTGCTGCTTTTGCAACAGCTAATGGGGATCCTAATAAAATACCAAAAATACCAAAAAGTGTAAACAAGCGTAACAGTAGGTTCTGGATCTTCTGGCAAGCTTGTAAGGAACATTAAAACGAGTTTGCAGACATTAGTTTCAGGCTGTATAGCTATACCAATTAATTGTGCATTACAGCCTGATTAATCAGACTAGCTAGTAGAATGCAGTGTTGTGTCACTGACTAATGTAACACTACACTAGTTACTAGCAGTAGCTGCTGTTAGCTATGTAGCTAGCTAACAACACACATTGACTGTCACTGTGGGAATTAGTTAGCTACACTGAACAAAAATATAAAAACACAACATGCAACAATTTCAAAGATTTTACTTAGTTACAGTTCATACAAGTAAATTAGCCCCTAATCTATGGATTTCACATGACTGGGAATACACATATGCATCTGTTGGTCACAGATACCTTGGATACTGTGGATCAGAAAACCAGTCAGTATCTGGTGTGACCACCATTTGCCTCATGCAGCACGACACATCTCCTTTGCATAGAGTTGATTAGGCTGTTGATTGTGGCTTGTGGAATGCTGAAACATGAGGTGATGGCGGAGAATGAATGGCACGACAATGGGCCTCAGGATCTCGTCACGGTATCTCTGTGCATTCAAATTGCCATCGATAAAATGCAATTGTGTTCGTTGTCTGTAGGTTATGCCTGCCCATATCATAACTCCACCGCCACCATGGTGCACTCTGTTCACAACGTTGACATCAGCAAACCGCTCGCCCACACGACGCCATCTGCCCGGTACAGTTGAAACCGGGATTCATCTGTGAAGAGCACACTTCTCCAGCATGCCAGTTGTCATCGAAGGTGAGTATTTGCCCATTGAAGTCGGTTACGACCCTGGTGAGGATGACGAGCACGCAGATGAGCTTCCCTGAGACGGTTTCTGACATTTTGTACTGAAATGCTTCGGTTGTGCAAACCCACAGATTCATCAGTTGTCCTGGTGGCTGGTCTCAGACGATTCCACAGGTGAAGAAGCCAGATGTGTAGGTCCAGGGCTGGCGTGGTTACACGTGGCCTGAGGTTGTGAGACCGGTTGTACGTACTGCCAAATTCTCTAAAATGACATTGTAGAGAAATGAACATTAAATTCTCTGGCAACAGCTCTGGTGGACATTCCTGCAGTCAGCATGCCAATTGCATGCTCCCTCAACTTGAGACATCTATGCCATTGTGTTGTGTGACGAAACAGCACATTTTATTGGCCTTTTATTGTGCCCAGCACAAAGTGCACCTGTGTAATGATCATGCTGTTTAATCAGCTTCTTGATATGCCACACCTGTCCGGTGGATGGATAATCTTGGCAAAGGAGAAATGCTCACTAACAGGGATGTAAACAAATTTGTGGCCAAAATTTGAGAAATAAGCTTTTTGTGAGTATGGAACATTTCTGGGATCTTTTATTTCAGCTCATGAAACATGGGACCAACACTTTACATGTTGCGTATATATTTTTGTTCAGTATACATAAGTAAGTAGTTAACGTTAGCTAGCTTGGTCAACAACTAGTTACGACAACAGCTAGCTATGAATGGATGAATGAATGGACGAACGCTAGCTGGCTGGCTAAACAATACAGTACTAGTACCTCTTCTGGAGCTTTCACGGCGCGGCTCTCCCAATCGATCTGTTTATTCAGCGGGTTGTACAGAAAGGACGGCTTAGAGACCGACTTGAAGAGCTCGTCGGGTTTTGGTAGAGGAGCTCCACTGGCAGCCCGCTTGGTCCCGTGTTGGGGAGATTTGCTACAGCTTCCAGTAGCATCGTTCCCCCCCTTTCCTCTTGATTTCTTCTGGCCCGCTTCATCGGAATCGCTGCTGTTACTATCGCTACTGTCACTCAAATCATCGTAACTCATGAAGTAATGGAACGAATCGGGTTTCTTCTTATCAGCCATACTGATACAATTATTACCTCAGCTAGTAATACGTTGAATTTAACTTTAGAGATAAGAAGATAATGCCCCTAATTAATTAGCAAGCTACCTTAATGTTTTGGCTCGTTACTCCATTTTGAATCACTGTTGCCGTAAAAGAGTATGTAATGACGTAAACACATGGCCGTAAAACTATTTTCTTAAAGGAGCAGTAGTCCTTTTTTTCAAGACACGCAACATAACTTTTATGAGCAGTTATTTTCATCATGCTCAAAGCACAACCACATTGTATATTTACCAAAAACAAGTCTGCCTCTCAGTTCTTCGCCCAGGGCTGTAATATACAGTGTGTGTGTGTCTCATCGTGAGCTATGGATGATTGCATACTTATAATGTATTATTGTTTAGCTATAGCAGTGGAGGTTGCTGAGGGGAGGATGGCTCATAATAATGGCTGGAACGGAGCTAATGGAATGGCATTAAACACATGAAAACCATGTGTTTGATGTATTTGATACCATTCCATTTATTCCGCTCAAGCCATTACCACGAGCCCGTCCTCCCCAATTAAGGTGCCACCAACCTCCTGTGCTATAGAGCCATCAAGACTTGATGAATGAAACCACAAAAGCCACATATTGCTTCATCCAATTGTGTAATGTTTCGTTCGATGGGAGTAAAAAAAGCATCCAATATAAGAAAGGGGAGAATCTAGATGGTGATCTTGATCTTGTGCTCTTTCGTCTTCTTCTTGCCTTCTCCAGGGCATTGATATCCTGGACTTTCTCCATCAGCAGAGCCCGCCACTGCTGCCTGCCTTGCTGTTCAGCCTCATCATCTTCAGAAGGCTGACCCTGACCTTGCCCCGCTCCTCCACAGCCTGTCGCTGAGTCTGGCGGATCCCCTCCTCCGCTTTTACCAGCTTTTTTGCTGATACTGAGCAGGCCACAGGGCTCTTCTCTGCCAATCTCTCTTCCTCGACTGTGTCCATCTTGCCTTCCAGCTCAGCCTTCAGCTGCTCAAAGGAGATCCTCTTCGCATGCCACTGCTCCGCTTTGGCCTATTCTCTCTATAATATAATATATAATATATAATATGCCATTTAGCAGACGCTTTTATCCAAAGCGACTTACAGTCATGTGTGCATACATTTTAGATGAAGGGTAGGAGACAGGTTAAAGAAGGATTTTTAAGCCTTGAGACAGATTGTGTGTGTGCCATTCAGAGGGTGACAAAATATGTAGGTGCCTTTGAACAGGATATGGCAGTAGGTGCCAGTTTGAGTGCGTCAACAACTGCAACGCTGCTGGATTTGTCATGCTCAACAGTCTCTATACACCAAGTCACTTGGCTCTGTCATATCCTCACATGGTCTCTCCTATCATTGCTACGCAGACGACACACAATTCATTTTCTCCTTTCCCCCTTCTGATAACCAGGTGGCGAATCGCATCTCTGCATGTCTGGCAGACATATCAGTGTGGATGTCGGATCACCACCTCAAGCTGAACCTCGGCAAGACGGAGCTGCTCTTCCTCCCGGGGAAGGACTGCCCGCTCCATGATCTCGCCATCACGGTTGACAACTCCATTGTGTCCTCCTCCCAGAGTGCAAAGAACCTTGGCGTGACCCTGGACAACACCCTGTCGTTCTCCGCTAACATCAAAGCGGTGACCCGATCCTGCAGGTTCATGCTCTACAACATTTGCAGAGTACGACCCTACCTTACACAGAAAGTGGCACAGGTCCTAATCCAGGCACTTGTCATCTCCCGTCTGGATTACTGCAACTCGCTGTTGGCTGGGCTCCCTGCCTGTGCCATTACACCCCTTCAACTTATCCAGAACGCTGCAGCCCATCTGGTGTTCGACCTTCCCAAGTTCTCTCATGTCACCCCCTCCTCCGCACACTCCACTGGCTTCCAGTTGAGGCTCGCATCTACTACAAGACCATGGTGCTTGCCTACGGAGCTGTGAGGGGAACGGCACCTCCTTACCTTCAGGCTCTGATCAGAACCTACACCCAAATGAGGGCACTACGTTCATCTACCTCTGGCCTGCTAGCTCCCCTACCTCTACGGAAGCACAGATCCCGCTCAGCCCAGTCAAAGCTATTTGCTGCTCTGGCACCCCAATGGTGGAACAATCTCCCCCACGACGCCAGGACAGCGGAGTCACTGACCACATTCCGGAGACACTTGAAACCCTACCTCTTTAAGGAATACCTGGAATAGTATAAAGTAATCCTTCTACCCCCCCCCCCCCCCCCCCCCCCCCCCCCCCCCCCCCCCTCCCCATTAAAAAATAAATACAAATAAATAAAGTGGTTGTCCCACTGGCTATCATAAGTTGAATGCACCAATTTGTAAGTCGCTCTGGATAAGAGCGTCTGCTAAATGATGTAAATGTAATGTAAATGTTGTCCTGGATCACCCTCCTCGTCTGGTTGAGACAGTTCCCAGCTAGCACGTTCTGAGAACCATGTGTTTCTTAGAGCAGTAGTTCCCAACCAGGGGTACTAGGACCCCTGGGGGTACTTGGCCTATCCACAGGGGGTACTTGAGAAGACTCATAAGACCATAGGCCTACTTGGAAAATACACGAGGGGGTACTTCAGGGCTACTACAGTCCGAGCAAAATTCAGTTGGTGGTACAGTAACCGAAAAAGGTTGGGAACTACTGTCTAAGAGCTTGGTGAGAACGTGGTTGTCCTATGGTTATTTTGCATACAACCTTCCCACAACTTTCTGGGAATGGTGCAGGATAGTTTGGCTTTGGCTTTTAGTAATGTTCTCGGAACGTTCGCCAACTGGTTTGACATTGGGAATGTTCTCAAATAGGTCAGAGGACGTAAAGAAACAATATTCTTCTGTGGGAATTTCAGTACTTCAGCATAATGTTTCCTACAGGTTTCCTCATAATTCTATTTAAAGTCATGTTCTCAAAATGTTGTCCGAGAACGTGAAGAAAACGATCCATATATACCACAAGAAAACTTTAGTAATGTTCAGAGAACGTTCTAACAATGTTTTTTAAAACATATACATTCCGTTCTGAACGTCAACAAAATGTTCTATCTTGTTAAGTGTGTTCAAATGTGTTTGCTGCGCCCACTAATTGGCCACACCTGATCTTAATGATTGCTTGTTTCCTTTGAAATTGGGTCTGTTTAAATAAACTACAATGAACAGCTTTGTACGTGTAAAAAAACATGGCATGCTAGCTCCATCCTGGTGGCGCCGTGTCACAATAAGAAATGTATGCGTTTGCATGATTAATGCCTATGGAAATGAATTCTGTACTTGGAGTAAAAAAAAAAAGGTTTACCCAAATAAACTATCAGTGTTATTAATAGTCTTATTGAAACATTCAGTGAAAGTTTAAGTAAGTTATAAAATAAAAACTCAAAATAACCTATAATTCCCGTTCTCAGAGCATTAATGAAACCTCCAGGAAAGCTTTCAGGGAACAATAGTAAAACATTATCAGAACCTCCCTGCAACCTAAAAATGTACATTCCCAGAACAGGCAAAAAGTTCACTTCCGTTCTCAGAATGTTAAAAAAACTTTCAGTTTTACAAATCAGGAAACGTATGGGTTCTTTCCCAGAACCAATGGGAAACCAAAAACGTACAATCACACAACTTCCGAGGTACCAAATGTGCTAGCTGGGTTGCCCTCTCCAAAACAATCTTTGCTCTTGACAAATTGTTTTCCTACTCAGTCCTGAGCTGGCTGAAGGAAAGTTTCTCCTCCTGCCTCTCCAGCTCCATTTTCTCCAGCTCACTCCTCAGCTGGTCGCAGGTGATGTTCTCTGCCCCTCTCTCCTCCTCCATGTTTGCCAGCTCACTCCTAAGCTTGCTGTAGGCGGTGGTCTCCGCCCCTCTCAATCTTAGACTGAAGGACCTTGATGTTGTCCTTGAGGGCGTTGTTCTCTTCCTCAGTCCTTTCTAGCTGTTTATTCATTGTTGACATTTTCTTGTCATTCTCCCTTTTCTCGGCCACAATGCCACAAGCTTGGCTGTTTTCTTCCTGAGGACCTCCCACAGGTTCTGAATTGTCCTTATCTTCTTCACCACCTCCTCGCTCTCATTGCTATCCTCCTTAATGTTCTCTTCAAGCTCCCCGATGGTCTCCATCGGTCAAGCTCCATCTTCCTTTTCTCTTTCAGCCAGAGGTCCTTCTCTTGACCTCTGACCCTTTTCTTCTCCTCCAGAACATTGGCCAGCTTTGAGGCCCTGCTTTCTTCACCCTGCACTCTGGTGTTAACTTCCTCCATCTCCAGGACTCTGAGACCAGGGCCTGGTCTCAGAGTCCTCACTGCTATCAACTCTGAACTTTCATTGCTTGGAGAGATGTTTCTTCAAGGCCTCTCTCCATCAAAGAGGCCCTGACCACCACCTCCCTCTGCCCCTCTTCAATGGCTCTCGGCTGCAAGGCCCTGCTTACCTCACTTCTTTTAAGGCTGGCCTTTGTGTCCTCTAGCTCCCTCTCAAGCAAGGAGGCCCTGGTCTTCTCACTTTCCAAGTCCTTTTCCATCGTAGAGGCCCGGAGCTCGACCTCCTTAATCTTTATTTGCCACTCTTCCTCTGCCTCCTTTCCCTCCTTCTCCACCCACTCCCTCAGCAGGCACTACCTTGACTTCTGTGGAGGTCTGGTGGCCTCGGAGGCATTAGAAGCATCCTGGTTCAGGCTCTCTTTTGTCAATGTTACAGGAGCCCCTGTGACACTGGTGCGACTGACACTACCACGGACCTATAGGAATGGAATCGCGGGAGAAACAAAGGAGAGAACACACTGGAGATGTGAGGACACGTCTAAAGTACTTTTAGGTCAGCTTGAATGAGCTTGCCCTGCATAACTGAATAAACAACAGAAATTAGGTGACCTTTGAATTTCAGGCCTTTATTTTATGATGATGCCTGCTCCCCAAATGGCACCCTACTCCATATGCACTACTTTTGACCAGGGCCTATAGGGAATAGGGTGCCATTTGGGACACAGGCATATTTTGGTGATTGCTTGCACTTACAGAGT